CTCCTTTCTTATTTTTAATTTTTTTTTTTTTTTTTTTTGGGTGGGGGGCAGGTACCATGGATCAAACTTAGGACCTTGCGCTTAACAGGCAGGCTCTTATGCCACTGAGCTATCTCCCTGGCCCCAGACCTCCTTCTTAGAGCTTGGCCTTATTCATCTGGTGCTGCACCTGAGGCCTGTGCCCAAGTGTCCCAGGCAGGTCAGCTCCGGGCAGGAGGAGCAAGAGGAAGAAATGGGTTCTAGAGGCCCCCTTCCTCCGGGACCCTCAGCCCTAGGGCGTGGGTCTGGGCCCTCCTGGGTGTCCTTGGCCCAGGTTGCAGGCTGGGGTGGGGTGGGGCAGTGCAGCTGGGTGTCCACCCTCTACAGCGTCCACCTGGCTGGCTTGGAGCCCAGGCTGGCACCGCCTCCTCTTCTTCATTAAACCCTTAAAACCCAGGTGAGCCAGAGTCCTGGCCTCGGCACCCAGCTGAACACTGGTGGTAGGTGCGCTGGGGGAGGGGACAGTGTGTCTTTGACTTTTTCACTCACTTCCTTCCTGTCTGTCCCAGCTGCAACACCGACACGGGGTGGGGCTGGGGGTACTAGTGTCATCAACAGCCATCCTCGACAGTAACTCGGGTCATGTCACTCCTCTTCCTGAGCCTGTATTCTTGTGCTAGAGGAGGGCTCCTCTATCTGCTGTCATTCCAGAACTCTGGAAGCTGAGGCAGGAGGACCCAAGTTTGCCCCAGTGTGGGCAACTTAGCAGGCACTAGAGGGACTTGGTTGTGAGTGCTGAGGGGACAAGCCTGGACGGCATTCCGGGCGGAGAGGGAGCTAGGAGGTGAATGGGAGGCCACACCCTGCACCGCCCAGCCCTGCAGCCCTTCCTGGGAGGCTTCACAGGCAGCTGCTGGAGGTGTTGGGGGTCAAAGAGGGGCAGTCATGTGACCTTGTCCCCAGGGACTCTTGTGGGATTGGTGTGGGAGGTCGGGGAGGGCACTGGCAGTACTTCCTGGAAAAGAGGAGCCACCACCACTGCTGTGTCTGTGGGGACAAGGGGGGAGACCAGGGACCCAGGAAGTTCCCACACTCCGATGTCACCAAACAGCCTGGGTTCAGGCCAGCCACATATTGCAGTGTGGCTGATTCTGGTCACAGGCTTCCTGACACAGTGAGCGTCTCAGACAGGCCACCTGGACCTGCAGGCTCAGCAGATGTGTCACACACACACAACAGACCCAGGCTGCACACAGGAAGCAGTCCCCGCCCAGCCATGGTGGGTGTGTGCCACACAGCTGGGCCCAGCACACGCACTCCCCAGTGCACAGGAGCGCTGAGGCACAGGAACAGCCCCCAACGGTCAGCCAGCCCCAGCAGCCGTGTGGCAGTGACTTCCCACGCCAGCCCTGACCCCCTCCTGGGATCCCACGTCCAGTTCTAGGGAAGTCGGGCTCACATGACCCAGGGGAGGGCCCCAGGCACCCAGCTTGTCCCTGGAGAAACTGCATCACCCTTCCGGAGGATCCACTTCCACCCCCAGGAATAAAGGCCCTGACAGCCACCCAGGCCCGGAGTCTACCTGCCTCCCGTGTCCACTGCTCACCAGGCTGCAGCTCCCCAAGGTGAGTTCTGGGTGTGTGGGGTGCTGAAAGGGCTTCCCGTCCCCTCAGCCAGTTCCAATTTGTGCCACGGAGTCTTGGAAGCTTTGGCACCCCAAGGCCAGGTGTGTGGCACACGCCTGTCATCTCAGCACCCCAGGAGGCTGAGGCAGGAGAATCGCCATAAGTTGGAGGCCAGCCTGGGCTACACAGTGAATTCATGGCCAGCCTGGATTGCATAGTGAGGCTGTCTCAATCCCTCAACCCCCCAATCCACCCTGCTGGTCCAGCCTGCAGAGATCAGGATCCTTTCCTCCTGGGGTCTCAGGCTCACACATGGTCTCTCCCTTTGCAGATGTCTGCGTGGGTGGTGCTGCTGGCCCTGCAGGCCTCTCTGCTGCTCCGCCTGGCCAGCTGCACGGCCCCCACGGCCACCCTGCGCTTTGTGGCTGTGGGTGACTGGGGCGGGGTTCCCAATGCCCCATTCCACACAGCCCGGGAGATGGCCAACGCCAAGGAGATCGCCAAAGCTGTGCAGATGATGGGGGCCGACTTCATCCTGTCCCTGGGGGACAACTTCTACTTCACCGGCGTCCATGATGTCAATGACAAGAGGTTCCAGGTGCGTGCCGGGCTGGGCGGCAGCTGCCCAATCTGGTGGCCTTCCTCTGGGGGGTGCAGAGCAGCGTGGGCAGAGCACCTGTGGGTCTCTCCAGGACGCCTCAGCTCCCTGGCCCCTGATTGGTGGGAGCAGGAGGGCAGCTGGTGACCTGCGGGGGGGGGGGGCGCCCTTTCTGTCCACTGTAGGAGACCTTTGAGGACGTGTTCTCTGACCGCGCCCTGCGCAATGTGCCCTGGTACGTGCTGGCCGGGAACCACGACCACCTTGGGAACGTCTCAGCACAAATCGCCTACTCCAAGGTCTCCAAGCGGTGGTGAGCACGCCCCGGGGATGTCCAGCAGGAGGCTCTCCAGGGGCTGAACGCCAGCAGGGCAACACAGTGAAACCTCTGTCCTAGGAAAAAAACCCAAAACCAGGACATAGGGGCGGCTGCCCATAACCCCAGTACTCTGGGAGGCTGAGGCAGGGAGATCACAAATTTAAGTTTAGTCTGGTAAACTTAGTGACCTCAGAAGACCCTGTCTCAAAATAAAATTTTTTGGGGGCCTGCTCCTTAGCTCAGTTCTTTAAGTGGCTGCTTCAACAAAGCAGTCAGGCTCAGGTTGCTGTGGTTCAATCCCCACAACTCAAGCCAGCCAAACCTGCCCTGAAGGCATTCCAAGCAATAAATAAATAAATAAATAAATAAATAAAAAATAAAAGTTTAAGGATATAGCTCAGTTAAAAAAAATACATCAAGTTTTCTCAAAGGTCCTTTAGCTTGAGCCAGCTATGGCCCTGACATCTCTCTATTCCAAATGTCTGCCCTTGGCCTCTGTTCCCGTGTCAGGAACTTTCCCAGCTCATTCTACCGCCTGCACTTCAAGATTCCGCGGTCCAACGTGACCGTGGCTATCTTCATGCTGGACACGGTGACATTGTGTGGCAACTCCGATGACTTCCTCAGCCAGCAGCCTGAGAGGCCCCGGGACCTGGCAGTAGCCCGGACCCAGCTGTCCTGGCTGAAGAAGCAGCTGGCGGCGGCCAAGGAGGACTACGTGCTGGTGGCCGGCCACTACCCTGTGTGGTCCATCGCTGAGCATGGGCCCACCCGCTGCCTGGTCAAGCACCTTCGGCCCCTGCTGGTCACCTATGGGGTCACAGCCTACCTGTGTGGCCATGACCACAACCTGCAGGTAAGAAGGGGCCAGGCATGGTGCAGGGCTGGCCTCCCGGCATAGAGAAGGCTGAGGCAGGAGGATCACCGGGAGTTCAAGGCCAGGCTGAGCTATACAGACAGAGAGTCTGTCTTTAAAATAAATAAAATAGGGTGTGGGGTATAGCTCAGTGTCACGGTGTCTACCCAGCAAGCATGAGGTCCTGAGCTTGATTCCCAGTGCCTAAAATAAGTCTCTGGCATCATGAACAGATGTGGCCCCCATGGGTGGAGGTCTGTCAGCTCCTGTCAGGGCTGCAGCTGCCCCACTCCCCTGTCCTTTGTCCCCAGTACCTTCAGGATGAGAAAGGCGTTGGCTATGTGCTGAGTGGGGCTGGGAACTTCATGGACCCCTCCGTGCGGCACCAGCGCAAAGTCCCCAACGGCTACCTGCGGTTCCACTACGGCTCCGAGGACTCGCTGGGTGGCTTTGCCTACGTGGAGATCGGCGCCAAAGAAATGACAGTCACTTACATCGAAGCCTCGGGCAAGTCCCTCTTCAAGACCAGCCTGCCTCGGCGGCCCAGGCCCTGATCTCCCAGGAGGCTGTGCCCATCGGGACCTGAGGCAGGGACTCTAGGGGTGTCCAGGGGCCACAGGGCTCAGCAGGACAGGACGGAGCCACAGCACTGGGCCCAAACTGGTGGCCACACTTGCGCAGGCCTGGACACGTGACCCTCCCGGCTGCACACGTGCCTCCCCAGGCCGGGCTTGGGGTACGTGTTGGGGGCAGGGAGGGAACCCAGCGTCTTCTGTTCCTGCCATTCAATAAAGGAAGAGTTGGCAAGACTGCATGCCTATCTGGGACATGGGGTGTCGATGGGACCAGAATGTCAGGGGCTCCTCCTGTCAGCTCTGTCTGTTAACAGCTGGTGCTGTAGCTCATGTAACTTAAACTAAGCCCAAGAGCCAGATGTGGGGGCTGAAGCAGGAGGGTTGTCTAGAGTTTAGGCCTGGGCTACACAGCAAGGCCCCGTGCCTTAAAAACAAAACAAAACAAAACAAAAAAACAGAAAGAAAAAAAACCTCATGACCCCTCCCCCCCTCAGCTGTCATGGTGGTAGCTACCTGTATCCCTGAACTCTGGGAGGCTAAGGCAGGAGGATTCCAAGTTAGACCCCAACGGGGGCAGCTCAGTGATTTAGCAAAACACTATCTCGATATTTAAAGAAAAAATTGTAAGTGGACTGGAGGGTTGGGGATATAGCTCAGTGACACAAGTGCCTGCCTGGCAAGCACAAGGTTCTGAGTTTGATTCCTGGTTAAAAAAAAAAAAAAAGTGGACTGCAGACAAAACTCAATGCAAAGGGCCTAGCTTTAATCCACTACCAAAACCAAGCAGGAACAAGGGTAAAACACAAAACAGACTTCCTGTTGCTGGCAGTTGAGTTAGATAAAAGTATTATAAACAGTCAGACAGGGCCAGGCCCTTGAAGGAAGTAACACAGAAGAGGAGATACTTTACAACTGTGGGAGGGGCGGGTTCTCCCTGCAGTGAGCCAGACCTAAGGACCAAAGACCAAACAAATGCTAACCTCCCTGAACATCAGCATCCAGGATTGATCTTCACCCTGAGAAAGCAAAAAAGAATCATTATCTGATGGCCACCAGATAAAGTCCAGTTCTACACTCATGCCCACTTGTTACGATTGCTACGTGGCTTGCTACGTGACTCCCTTCCCCATTTGGTCCTGGACTTAATTTTACCTGAGCAAAGGTGCTTGCAATCCCATTGGTTGACCGTAGTTTTGTCCCACCCTACATCCACCTAAGCCAGTTCCCATTTTCTCCACCTTAGCCCCACATGGTTTTTACACTATAGAAGTCCCTGGAAGAGACGGCTTCCCAGGGATAACCTGCTCTGGCCTCCTTTCTGTTCCTCTCTTAGACAGGAGCTTTCCTTCCCTTAATAAATATATTCTGCTCATAACCTCCATTTGTTCCTAAAATTCATTCTTTGGTTTTAGAGAACACGAGTTCATCCAGATCAGGTCGGGAGTTCCACTACCCCTGTGTCATTTGGGGGTCCCCATATCAGTTTTTCTCCCTGTATCACTCCCAGGACGCATCTGCTGGTTCCTACCCTGCTCCCCAGCCCTGCCCTTCTCCCCAGGATCCTGCCCATTTCTTCCCTTCTATGGGGATGATGTTTCTATAAATATACCATTCCCCCACGTCCCCTGTCACACAGGAAGCCCTGAGCTACACCCCCAGCCCTTTCTATTATTTTGCTTTGAGGCTGATTCTTTCTTTCTTTCTCTCTCTCTCTCTCTCTCTCTCTCTCTCTCTCTCTCTCTCTCTCTCTTTCTTTCTTTCTTTCTTTCTTTCTTTTGCTATGAAATTCAGGTTGGCCTTGAACTCACTGTGTAGATCAGGCTGGCCTTGAACTGTGGTGACCCTCCTGCTTCAGCCTCTGGAGAGCTGTAATTATAGGTGCACCAAAGCTCCTGGCCCCATATCTGGTCATGGCTTAAGCGTTTTGACAAAGGCACAAACCCACTGCACCATCAGACCCCCGGTTGTCCCGTTGGCTGCCAAGGTTGCCTTTGCCTTTCGGGTTTCTGCTTTTTGTAATTGGAGCTGGGCGCTCTGCACCCTCGGGACAGCGGCCACGTCTTTCTGTGGCTTCAGAGACCCCAACTGGTGCAGAATCAGGAACCAGCTGTCCACTGAGGGCCAAACAGATCGCTTCCAGCCACTTCTCAATCCTCTAGGAACGCTGCATTTAATGACCCTGTTCGTGTGTGCCCGACGTGCGCAGCTGTGTCTCTGGATAGACAGGATTTGCTCCCAGGAGCAAGACTCTATTAATTTTTTTTTTTTTTTTGCGGAACCGGGGATTGAACTCAGGCCCTTGCACTTGCCAGGCAAGCGCTTATTCTACTGAGCTATTTCCCTGGCCCCAAGACTCTATTAATTGATTGGTTGATTGATTGATTGTGGTGTTGGGGATGGAACCTGGCGCATTATGTGCACAACCACACTCTGCCAGTGAGCCACACTGGTAGCCTGCAAATAATTTTAGTTTTATTGTTTGCAATACTGGGGACTGAACCCAGGGCTTTTGCACTGAGCTATGTCCCCAGCCCTGTGTATACATATTTTTAGTATTTATGTTGCCCAAACGAGCATTTATTTTTTATTTTGAGACAGGGTCTTCCTAAAGTCCCCAGACTGGGCTTGAGCTTGGGATCCTCCTGCCTCAGCCTCCTCCCAAGTAACTGTGCTTATATAACATGCCCCGTGCCTGATCCAGACCCTCAGCCTTGACCTCTTCGTGCAGCCTCTCTCCCGCTGACTCTGGGCCGGCAGGGGTCTGAGTCACAGGTTGCTTGGCCCAGCGTCCCTCGGGAGAGCACAGAAAGGAGAAGCAGCAAAGTGGTGGGGCAGGACGGTGGCTGGGCCTCCTCCTCCGGCGTTCTCCAGTCGCTGTGCTCACTAGACACCCCGCCCTCCGGCCTAGCTGCACGCAGGACAGCAGGCCTGACACTCGCTCACTTGGCCTCCTCTGTCCTTTTCCCCACCAAAAAGTGGGAGATTTCTTCTGTTTCCCACCAGGAGGTGCTGCCCTGCTGCAGACAGCAAAAGCAGCGTGTCCAGCCGGGCGTGGAAGCGCACGCCTGTGATCCCAGCACTCGGGAGGCGAAGGCAGGAAGATCATTGTGAGTTCAAGGCCAACCTGGGCTACAAAGTGAGCACAAGGCCAGCCTGAGTTACACAGTGAGACTCTGTCTCAAGACAAAAACAAAGGGCCGGGGAGATGGCTCAGTTGAGTAAGTGCTTCCTTGGGAAGTGCAAGGGCCTGGGTTCAATCCTGGTTGGGGGAGGGGGAAAGCATCAAGACCTTAGCATCAGTCATCCATGACCTTAGCATCAGCCAGCTGGGGCCTGAGCCACCAGCGCAGGGATCTCTGGGGAGTGACACACGAACTGTTTCTTTTTTCCTTTTTTCTGAATTTAGGGAAGGGTCTACAGGGTGTTCAGGGTCTCACTACATAGATTGGACTGCAGTGATCCTCCTATTTACAGTCTCCCAAATGCTGGGATTACAGGTGCGTGCCACCAGACCCAGTCTCAATTGAGGTCTCAGCATGACCCCGGAGCCATCTCGCCTGTCTCGTTTTTTTGTCTTTTTGAGACAGGTCTCGCTATGCAGTTCATGCTGACCTTGAGCTCACTTTGTAGCCCAGGCTGGTCTGTAACTCAGAGCAATCCTCCTGCCTCAGCCTCCCGAGTGCTGGGATCACAGGCAGCCCCCACCCATGTCTCACCCCTAAAGCTCCCAGGCTGCTCTGCAAGCCCCAGTGGGCTGAGCACTTGTAGCTGAGCTTTTCCCTGTCCACTGCTTCTTCCACTCGGGGCTGTCCCCGAACTGCAGCCACAGCCTGCACGCTGGCTCACTCCTAGGACAAACCAGAGGCTCCTTGCAGCCTCTCTGGTGCAAGCCTTGTGCAGGGTGCAGAGGATTCCACGGGGGACCCAGCCAGGGAAACCCTCAGAGGCCGACGAGCAGGACAGGGATGCGAGAACAAGCTCAGCTGCTCAGGAGGGGTCTTCAGGGCAGGGTGCCTGGCTCAAGGTCTACAGGGACCAGCAGGAATACTTACGATTCTGATTACGATTATTATTGAAGGAAGGTCTCACTATATAGCCCAGGCCTGCCTCACATTCATGGGGATCCTCCTGCCTCCAGAGACCAGGAGGAATATTTTAGGAAGGTACAAAAATAACTGACATTCTAGACAAAGGGAACGGCACGCCGCACAGTGCACCGGATGCCCCGCCCCACACCCCCTCACTGCTTCTGCAGACTGAGGCCTGGCATCGGCATTCACCGCTCAGCCGGAGCTCCTTTGTCCTCTCATATCCAGTGCCCGTGTCGGCGTCCTCCTGCCTCCAGCCCAGTCCCTAGCCACGCACCCCAGTCCCCGCAGGGCTGTTCCTTGTCTCCCCACCTCCCATGACTCCCAGTGCTGGGAAGAGCAACTCCAAACTCCAAAAAGAGCCTCGGAGCTGTTCTGCCAAAGAGAAGGCAGCTGGCGCCCTCGTGTGGTGAGGACATTAACAGCCACGCGTCCCCTGGGGAAAGCACCTCCAGTTTTACCGCAGGTAACGGTTAAGTGAGAGTATTTTCTGCACGTCCTCAGCGAGAAGGTGGCGTGACAGGTTGGGAAAATGGAAAACGAAACAAACAGAAAACAAAGGGGATGTGGTGCTTAACCCAACACATCATACGCAAGACAGTTTCAAAGGCATACTTTAAATAGAGGACTCCTAGAGAGCCTTCGGAAGTTTCAACTAAGGGCCAGTTAGATTGCTTAAAAAGGGAAAGCTAGCCAGGTGCAGGGGCACACACTCACAGTCTCAGCTACTCCGGAGGCCGAGGCAGGATCGCCAGCCTGGAGCTCAGCGGGAGAAGATCCCCGAGTTTAACCCCCAGTCCTGGGGACGGGGGAGGAAGCGCTGCTTCCAAGGGTGGTGAAGTACGGCACACGTGCTGCGGCTCGCTGTTTGCTGTCACTGGAGGCATTTCTAAAAGGCTCGCCACCGCAGTACATGTAGACATGCCTATGGGATTACAGGCGTGCCCCCCCCCCCCCGGCTAGTGATACGCAGTTATCTTCCTTTTTTTCCCCCTAAAAGAGTAATTCTTTGCCAGTATTTAAAAAAAATTAATAAATTCTCAGAGTTTTTCTTTACATACACACAAACACAAGAGGAAAGCAGAGAGTCTGCCGGTGGGGTCGCCAGCAGCGAGACTGCGGAGCTCCACTCGCTTATGTCAGCACCGGCGTTGGGCGGTGAACAACTGGCGGTGCGGCAGAGCCCGAGGGCTAGGATTCCTAGATGAGGGTCGCGCTGAGCCTGCTCAGGAGGGCTGTGGTGGGCCTGGGGTTTCGGCTTCTGGGGCGTCGCCCTCCTCTTCAGGGCCTCCAGCTGATCGGCTCCGGAGGAAGAGTGGATGGGGAGAAGCTGCAGCGCGCGCAGCTAGGGCTGAGCAGGGGTTCTGGCCTTTCTGAGGCTCTGACTCTGAACTACATCGCAGCACTTTTACATTTTTAAATTTTGAGATAGGGTCTTGCTAAATTGCCCAGACTGTGCTTGAATTTTCGATCCTCCTGCCTCAGCTGCCCCCAGTGTTGGGATGACAAGTGTGAGCCCCGTGTCTGCCTTTTTTTTTTTTTGGAACCAGGGATTGAACTCAAGCCCTTGTGCTTGCCAGGCAAGCACTTATTCTACTGAGTTATCTCCCAGGCCCCAGGAACTGGCCTTTGTTTTGTTTTGTTTTTTTCTTTTCAGTTTTATTGATAAACATATAGCAATGAGACAGTTTCAAATCAAATCAAAAGTACAGTTTCAACAAATAATACATTGCATATATTCTTCTTAGTGGTTAACTGCTGTACAAGATGCAGACTTGTGATCCTACTTACAAACACCATTAGAAAAAATCATTCTATTCATTAAGAGAAT